GAACTCCCATCAAATCCATAACTAAAAATTAGCGTCTATTTCTGCCATGCTCAGGGAATCCATAAACTGTAAAATAACATCTTTTTGCAAAGTTATTATTCGTTTTGTTATGTGTTCCAGAAGATTCTTTAAAGGAACTTCTGCAATAACTTTTGTGACTTGAATTCCACTTGGTCTACAGCTAGATTTAATTTGCCATATTTTTTTGGAATCTGGGTAGATGTTACAATTTTTCTGAATGGCACCGCGTCTTATATCTAAATATTGCTGTTTGCTTAATCTAGAATCTAAGATAAGTTCCAGTGTTTCCTCTGCGGTATAGGCAATTACCGGATTTTCCGATGAAGAAAAGAGTTTTTTTATTTTTGAAGGTTGCGTAGGAGATTTCACGATTTCCTGTAAAACTATTGCTACATCTTTATTTTTTTGTTGCCGTGCCGCTTTAACAGCAGCCTGCACAAGTAAAGCCCAGTCTTGCTTATGTTCCTCGGATACCTATGAGGCCGTTTTCCTTTGAGTTCTGGGGGATTGCTCCGAAAAAAATAATCGTGGGCGCCCAGCAGATGATGTGGATGGAAGGGGTTCACTTACTTCAAGGATAAAATCCTCCTTGAGCCAGTCAGTATTTTGTTTTAAAAACAAATCTTTTCGACGCGAAACCGCCTGCCATCTTGCTTCAAAATTTATACACAGTCGATTATTCTTTTTTTCCATAGTGCCTGATAGTTTGTCTTTATTATTCTTAAACTTCTGAGTTACAAAACTTAAAACATTCCTGTTTTTCTCAACTTTATCGGTCCCATGTAGCCACACTTCCAAAAGATCTATTTTTTTCAATCGGTACATATCTGGAAGAAATATATTCTTTTAAAAAAAGTTGCAGCTAGTAGCAGCTAATTTTTTATTTGCTGTGTCCAAAAACGACCACCTTAAATTTTAGAATAACATCTAGCATGGAGAAACATGGAGAATCTTTTATAAGTCAAACTGAACATTTAACTTTTTTTTTTATTTTCTGCGTTGAACTAATTGTTTTTAATTATTTAAAATAATAACGAACGCTAAATCCTATCTAAAATTGTTAGTGATTCTTTTGAAATACATACCGTAAAGTGTAAAAATAACACTGATCCGTTTTTATGTCCCACTGAATATATCCCTCAATAATCACCTAAACTCTTAGAAAAATTAACAGCAACTGGATAGGCAAAAATACTTTATCAGAATACCTGAATATAAATGCTGATAAGAAACGAAAAACAAATCTGGGCAAAAATATATATACGAGGCCTTTTTTATTGGTTTATCTGCTTTTATTCCACAAACAAAAAAATGTCCATATACAGGGTGTTTTGGATACCTATTTTGGCCAAAAAATTAGGTTCCAGAAACCATAGTGCGTCAGTTGATTGACAACTTTTGACTGGTCAATTGAACGAGGTGCCATTCCTAGTCAGAAGACTTTATTCAATCTACATTAAGCTTTGTGTCATCATGGAATCACTAGAATGGTCCACTGGGTCAGATCTCGCCGCCCTACTCTGTAGAAGATATTCGTATTGTCAGCGTCTTGCTCTGTCTGTGCAGAACTCTAACCTAAATTTATTAAAAAACAAGGGACACTCATTAAAGCAACTTCGGCTTTCAAGAGAATATCTCTGGACTTCAAAGGCCCTCTTCCATCAGATTCAAAAAAGAAATATATATTCACTATCATCGACGAGTATTCTCGCTTTCCATTCGCCTATCCATGGCAAGAAATGACTTTTGAGGCGGTGATTCGCTGTCTAAGCAACTTATTTTCTATTTCTGGAATGCCTGGATATACAGGGTGTCCGACGAGGTTTTTCCCAAATGATAACTTCGGAACGCATCATCATATATTCATCAAATATGGCATTGCCGATTTTGTAATTTAATTTTATAACGAAAAATGCCATAAGTATACCATGAGTTACATTTGCAATTTGAAAATTGACGTCACTTGACTGAAACTGGAGCAAAAGTGGTGAAATTGGATGACAATGGTAGAAGCGGCGCAAAAAATTATCCAGATCCTCAAAATTTCAATTAATTTGGATGACACGTTCCGAAGTAATCACGTGGGAAAAACGTCGTGGAACACCCTGTATTCACACAGATCATGTTATAAATATGCCTACTCGATCAGAAGAGAGTGAAGATTTTTTGCAGGAACCTATTCTCACAGAACAATTGCGAGACATAGAACAAGAAAATGTTAGTGAGACAATAAACCAGTTTCAATCTATTCACTGTGAGCCACAACTAGAAAACCAGATCCGTCGTGGATCAAGAACTAGACAATCTCCCAAATATCTTAACGATTATGTTAAAAAATAAACCTGGGTAGAATGTGGCACTTTTGACATCTTCTGTCTATAGTTTCTGTTACCAGTATTTATAAAGTCTGTTTTTTTTTTAAAGATAATTCCCCAAGTCATAAATTTAGTAATTATGTTGGCAACACAAGCCTTTTCTACATAAAAAATTTGAAAGCATTGACAATTTTACATTGTATTGCCAACATAATGTCATTTTGACTTTTATCTTTAAAAAAAAAACACTTAAATTATCATATTGTATTTGTCATTGTTTTTCAGTGAATGCCGTGTATAATTCTTGTTTATCAAAGCCTAATTTCTAAAGGCAACTCAGTAAATCATTTCAGCTCTAAAACCTCAGATCTCATTATCAGTACAGGGTGGCCCGTTTAAGAGGGTCCTATACCTTATCTCAAAATCTACAAGGGCTGTAAAAAAAACCTTATATACAAAAATTATTTCTAATAAAATTATCTACAACTTTTTTTTGGTGCCACTCTACTATACAGGGTATCCCACGGTGGATGATGTATTAGACGTTTATGGAGAACTAAAAAGCAGATCATTTTGAAAATTTGTACGACCATGATCCACATTTTAGAAATATTTTTGTTTATGCGGTGTTGCCGCTTCTACTCTAAACCAGTGGCAACATCGCTATTTTAAAAGGAACACCCTGTATGTGATTGCATATTTGGATTCTACATAAAATTCTGAGCAGATTTCATGTGATATACCCTATACCTAAGTTCAACTGTTTTGGAAATATTGACAGTAGTTGAAAATTGACTTGCTTGCAACTTTGACAGAGTGTAAAACATGAATGGTTAATTTTAGAGAAAACCCGATTTTACATTCCTATCTTAGATTTTTATAAACTATCATTCGACACGAACTTTGAATTTAATCTATGATTAAAAATTCCAATTAAATTCAATCTCCAGCTAGATTTAAAGTTGGTGTCAAATGATAGTTTATGAAAATCTAAGATAGGAATGTAAAATCGGTTTTCCTCTAAAATTAACCGTTTAGGTCTTACAGCCTGTCAAACAAAGTTGCAAAAAGTCAATTTTCAACTACTGTCAATATTTCCAAAACAGTTGAACTTAGGTATAGGGTATATCACATGAAATCTGCTCAGAATTTTATGTAGAATCCAAATATGCAATCACATACAGGGTGTTCCTTTTAAAATAGCGATGTTGCCACTGGTTTAGAGTAGAAGCGGCAACACCGCATAAACAAAAATATTTCTAAAGTGTAGATCATGGTCGTTTATCCCGGTTGCCAAATTTTCAAAATGATCTGATTTTTAGTTCTCCATAAACATTTGTCCACCCTGTATATAGTAGAGTGACACCAAAAAAAATACAAAAAAGTTGTAGATAATTTTATTAGAAACATGTATTTAAGTTTTTTTACAGCCCTTGGAGATTTCGAGATAAGGTATAGGCCCCTCTTAAACGGGCCACCCTGTACATAAAATGGTATAGAGACATACTTCCTCATTTATGTTTACCACCAGCAGCGAAATATGGGTAGAAATTGGTTAACGGTGAATTTGAGCAAAATATGTGACATTCCCGCGCCCCTGAGGAAATGTTTAATTTGGTAAGATGCTTATGTCAGAAGAATAATAATTGCTCCCAACGCTCCAAATGTGCCATTTCACATATGGTATGCACAGAGGTGAGCTCATGTAAAGGGAAGAAGGAAACCAACTTGGACTCAGAAGATTTATCGGATGATGATTCGTAGACTGTGGCATGCAACTGTCAAGGCCTGCGCCCTTTTTTACCCTCTCCTTTTAAGGTCCAAAAATAAAATAATTTAAAAAACACTTAAACGCGGTTTCTCCTAAAATAATTAAAATCTATAAATATTCATCAATCTTACTATAAACATCAACACTTAAATAGCCAGGAGGAATTCCATGTTATTCTTAAAATGACAAAATTAGGGGTTTCGGCATCTAATACATATATGGCATATTTGTATGTTTTCAAGACTTGATAACCTAAGGGATGGAACTAATGGAAGTCTTTTCAAGTTTCAAAAACTTTTTTGTAATAGTAACTACTCTTTAAATTTAAGGTATGTTTGTCTATACTTTACTAAGCTAATTTACAATATTTTATAAAGGGGTGGCTATAGGAGGTCGTTTCTTGTTTCTTTCCTCAGACACATTTGTGAGAGAGGTCCCATCCATTCTCGGAATATAAAAATTTTAAGGTATCGCCCAATATTGCATCACAAATTTGCAACCGGACTACAGGTCCCGCCGCCATATTTTGGTTCATTTTCAATAAGAATTTAGAAGTAAGCCACGCCCTCACCGCCATTTTTTTGCTCATTTCCAATATGAATCCATTAAAATTTCAACACCCTGTAAATCCATAACGGAGCGTTTGCGGAATTACATATATTTATTAGAAATTTTAGTCATAAAATAAACTAAAGAATCACCCCCTTCCGTTTGCACATGATGTTCAGGAACACCCTGTATATTCAACAAGCACCCCAAAAAGAAACGGCATATATGTGATGTGACTCGATTAAGTAAATCTGAAAATATTGTTTTTGCTTTTCCTCTATGAACCCTTCACTTTTTTAAACCAAAATTATCACTTCATTCGAAAAAAAAAAAAAAATACAAACCTCCAAATGATCAGGATCAATCCTGATATGACACAATCTAGAACAAGAATGTCCGCACGGTTCCACTCGTGTATCGCATTTAGTGGGGCATACAAACTCTTCGGGATCCTGGAAGCAAGGCTTGGGTACCTCATGATCACATGCAAGCCTCGTTGGTACCAGTACTTGGCACTTGTACTTGATCGGATCGATATGGCAGGCTATGCTCACTACATGGCCGCAATACAGTTTCCTAGTTACTAGATAACTGCAGGGACCGCATTCTTGGTAGCAGAGTTTCCGACACTGGTGGGTGTGATCATTACACAGTAATCTGAAAATAAATATATCTAATGGAATACTGGAATCTTACTCAAACAAAATCAAGTAAAACCAATGCTATATTGTTAAACGAAATATTCCAGTTCAATACACAAAACCCAATGACATCAAAACACAGATAGACGGATCATCCCATTCATAAACTGATATTTGTTGTGTTGACAAGACCACCCATGGGCCAGGGGAGGTGAGTTGCTCGCGGGGTCGGGGTGGGGAGACATCATTGCTCAAAATGGTGTAAAAAACCCCGCCCACACGTGAATATATCTCAAAATTTAATTGGATGAATAAATAAAATAACAAATTGACAAATACACTGAAAATATTCGATACGAGCCCTTTATTCTAGGAGTACCAATATCGTATTGGTCGTTTCTTGTTTAACGCTAATGAATAATCCCCGTTTGCGATAAAGATAGCCAGCTACTCCAACCAACACCTGCCTGCCATTCAACAAGCCGCTGCTGGGCGGTGTTTTGCTACAATCTGCTGTTGCCAAATTGAGTTCCGAAATAAAATTGAAAACGTTAATTAGAAAAGGAGAAAAATATATTATTTAGGGAATCGAGACAAAATTTGGCATTCTCAGTGGTGGGGATAGCACAAAGACCCAAAAGAGACAGAGAGATGTTGTCATACGAAAATTTTGTTTATTGTTCGGTCTATCTGTGATTTGATGTCATTGACAAAACCAATAAAACGGTTCTAGAAATATTCCTTTGGAGTCCTAATACAGGTAGATATCAAAATAACAAATTCTCATCCTAACCATTGGCAGAAAATATTACAAAATAAACTCTTATCATACCTGCCACATCTTTCATTGCATTTATACAGTTGATGATCTCTGTCTTGCACATGGCATAATCTCTTACAAATATGTCCACATCCTACTCTGGCTTGGCACAACAAATCACAGCCGCCTTCGCTCAACTTCACAAAATCTTTACTGGAACGAACCTGCGTCAATTTGTGACGGTGCACTTGACATCTGAGATTTAATTGATTACCGATAGCGTTTTGTTCTTCTAGTACTTCTTTCACTTTTTCCCAAATCTGAAAAACAATCCATTTAGCAAATAAATATTTAAGGAATAAATAAATATTTACTTTATTTTCACTGTCAGATTTTAATAGAAGCGACATATTTCCCATTATATAAAATCCGTTTCTGGCTCTGGACAGAGCCACACAAACTCTGTTTTGGATTCTCAGGAATCCGGCCTTATTGTCTGCATTGCTTCTGACGAGAGATAATAGAATGATATCGCTTTCCTCTCCTGAAATTATTTAACAGAGTATATGGATAAAATAAAATAAATCCCTTTGAAAAAAAAAAGGTATGATTATTTTGAGGAAATTCATAGTTTAGTAGTTGATCACAGACTCAGACTTTTTAGTATTCAGATACCCATTTAAATTACCTAATATATAATATAGTTTTTTGCGATGCCAGCTGATGTGTGTGTGGCCTGTACGGTAAAAATAAGTTCAGGCCGAAATTGTGTAAAATGTATTTTTTGCAAATTACTATGGCACTCTAGTTGTGTTCAACCTGCTGTTCCATCAGAGCTTCTCAAACTGGATAATTTTGTCTACCGATGTCCTTCTTGCTCTACTAAAAGTGATATTGACCAGGGGGGTCAAGGAAAAATTCTTGATAAGCTTAATAAAATGGACTCAAGGTTGGAAAATATAGGAAAAAACCAGGAAGAGTTCAAAAAATCGTTAGAATATTATGGAAATAAGATAGATGATTTTAATTTGAGAATATCGGAGGTTGAAAATAGGATCAAAGCGATTCCAAAACTTGAAAATTCTGTAAGTACTATTGCATCTGATCTAGAGAAAACAAATAGGGAGATTGAGCTTCTCCAGCAACAAGCACGGAGGAATAACGTTGAAATAAATGGAATCCCGGAAAAATCTGGCGAAAATCTACAATCTGTTTTAGTTAACATCCTGAAGGCCTTAAACATCCCTGAAAATTGCTTTGAAACCTATCATCGGGTTGCCCATATTGATCCAGATAACAAAAATCCACGTTCCATTATTGTTAAAATGATTAGCATCAAGGAAAAAAATGATCTTTTGGCCTCCATAAAAAATAAGCAAGGGCTGAAACTAAATCAGGCTGGGCTCCCAGGAGATGGAAACATTTACATCAATGATCACCTCACGGTAAAAAATAAAGCATTGTTTAAGTCCGTTAGAGACTTTGCAAAACACCGCAAGACACCGTGTTGGACCAAAGATTGCCAAATTTACCTCAAGTATGATGATAAAGTACATAGAATCAATTCTGAGGAAAAATTAAATAAAATACGTAACGGCCAATAATTCTAAAACCATTCTATCTTGATTTAAGTGGATGCAAATGGTAAAAACAATGCAACTTTCAATATACTATCAAAATGCCCGTGGTCTTAGGACCAAGACCCATAGTTTTTACACATCAAGTATCTCATCCAGTGCTGATGTCATATGCATCACAGAATCGTGGTTAAATGAGAGTACTAATAGCTCAGAATTGTTTGATTGTGGGGAATACGATGTTTTTCGTAGAGATCGAAATCCTGTCATGAGTGGCAAGAAAGATGGTGGTGGTGTTATTATTGCAGTGAAAAAAAAGCTATGTGCAATTGAAAAAATCAATTGGTGCTGTGCTGGGATATGCGAGGACTTGTGGGTGTCCATTCCAATGAATGTATCGATATCAATGAATATTTGTTGCACGTATGTACCGCCACATGCAACTGAAAATAACCTGGAAGCTCATCTAAATAATGTAAGTGCTATTACTCGCTCTAATAGTCGAGACTATTTTTTAATTTTGGGTGACTATAACCGTACTAATATTCAGTGGTCCCTAAATGACAATGAACAATACTATTTGCCAAACAACGCATCGGACCGCCATAGTGAAATATTGATTGACTCATTTAATATATTGGGTTTTAATCAGTATAATGGAATTTTTAATCAAAAAGGAAGATTTCTCGATCTTGTTTTTAGCTCTCTTACTAATATCAGGGTGACTAAGTGCTTGTCACCATTTGTAGTGGAAGATTACAATCACACTTCTGTTGATATACTCGTGGATTTGCCATCAAGAAATGAGCTGAAGCATAAGTCAAGCTATCAGAGATATAAATTCCACTATGCTGATTATAACGAAATAATTACTAATATAAATAACATCAATTGGGGCAATATGTTTCTGAACCTTACCGCGCAAAATTCAGTTGATTTATTTTATGAAAAGATTAATCAAATAATAGCAAATAAGGTTCCCAAAAAACAAGTTATTTCAAGATATCCTTCCTGGTATTCTGCTGACACCAGGTCCTTGATAAAAAATAAATATAAATATCATCAAAAATGGAAAAAATACCAGAATAATTCTGATTACGCAACTTTTTCCAGATTAAGAAAACAACTAAGATTATCTATAAAAACCGACTACCAAAAATATGTCGAAAATACTGAGGAGAATCTATCAACAAACATCAAGAGTTTTTGGAGTTTTGTCTCCAATAAATCCAAAGCTAAAACACTTCCTACTTCAGTTACATTAAACAATATTACCTACAATACTAATGAAAGTATCTCGCAGGCTTTTTCGACATATTTTTCAAGTGTTTTTGAACCGAGCTCAACCACAGTAAATAATCGAAATAATACTAGTCAAAGTAGCCTTGAAACTATTACAATAAATTCAATATCTGAAAAGCAAATCAACAATCAAATTGACCATATAGATGCGAACAAAGGGGCGGGACCAGATCAAATACCACCTTTTTTCATAAAAAAATGTCAAAATGCAATAATAAAACCGTTACATATAATGTTCAACCTTTGTTTGAAAGAGGGGATCTATCCAACTCAATGGAAACTAGCTCAAATTACGCCAATTCACAAAGGAGGCAATAGAAATGATGTGAGTAATTATCGTCCTATCTCAATTTTGTCAACTTTTGGAAAAATTTTTGAAGGTATTCTGGCTAAAGAATTATTCTTTAGAGTTAAAAATTATATTCCTGAAAACCAGCATGGTTTTTACGAGGGTAGGTCTACGTCTACAAATCTCATTACTTATGTCCAAGACATTTGCACAAGTATGTCAGGAGGGGCTCAGGTGGACTCATTGTATACGGACTTTACTAAAGCGTTCGATAAAATCTCGCACAATATCCTTATTAATAAACTACAAAGTCTTGGTGTGCATGGGTCGTTGCTGGCCCTCACTGTTTCCTATTTAAAAGAAGATCGTTATCAGTTTGTCAGAATCAACAACGTTGACTCACACCCTTGTAAAATAACCTCAGGGATTCCTCAAGGTTCCCACCTTGGACCGCTCTTTTTTTCGCTCATGATCTGTGATGTGTTCAAATGTTTCAAGTTTTCTAAGTTTTCGGCGTTCGCTGATGACTTTAAAATATACAAAGCCATAACAAATATCTCGGATTGTCATCAGCTTCAGTCCGACTTAAAGAGATTTTCAAATTATTGTGAGGAAAACGAGCTAAAACTAAATCCTGATAAATGTTATCAAATTACTTTTTCTCGGCTGAAGCAAACTACCAAATTCACGTACAATATAAACAACGCAAATTTGAAAAGAACCTCTTTTGTTAAGGACCTTGGTGTCATTCTGGATTCAAAATTGACATTTGAAAAGCATATTGAAACCATAGTAAACAAATCCTATAGAAATCTAGGATTTATCATGCGAGCAACCAGTAAATTTAAATCCTCAAAATCTATTAATTTGCTATATAATGCACTGGTCAGATCTGTTTTGGAATACTCATGTATTGTCTGGAATCCAATGTATCACAAATACATAAATAGAATTGAAACAATCCAAAAAAAGTTTATAAATCATATAGTTTTTAGATTTTATCCAAATATAAAATATTCTACCTACGACCATAAACTTCGATATCTTCAAATATTAAAACTAAGCTCCAGGCGATGTATTTCGTATGTGTTGTTTTTGCATAAAATTTTTACGAACGTAATATCATGTCCCCAATTGTTAAATTTGATTAATTTACATACACCGCCTAGGTCACTGCGATGCTCAGATTTATTTTACTGTAACTTTTATAATACAAATTATGCTGTGAATTCCCCAATATCTCAAATGCAAAAAATGTACAACTCATATTTTAGCCACATTGATATTTATTACCTTAGGATAAGAACCGTAAAAACATTAGCAATCAATGTATTTTTGTGAAAATTGAAATAATCTCACAGGTATTCTATTTTTTCTTATTTATTTGGTTTTTCCTCTATCTATGAAATCACTTTTGTTTTGTTTCTTTTTTTTTTTAGTTAATAATAATGGGAACATTAGGTTTAGATTTAAGAGCAATGTATACTGCATATACCTCTATCTATTATAGATCCTACATTTTAGTGTACTCTGTAAGTTGTAATGTTTAAGTACATTATGTAGAGTGCAATAAACAAAATAAATAAATAAATAAATAAATAAATAAATATACTTGAATATAAGTATTTTCATACCTTGATAATTATCCAACACAGAAATTCGAACATCCTGTAATAGAAGTTTGTTTTCGTACTTTTTCTTTTCGCGCATCATTTCAAATAACTGCCCTAGATAGGCAGCCAGAATAGTAATTTGTTCAGGTTTGTAACCATTCAAAATCAAATGTCGAGCTAGGGCGATCAAAAATTTTGCTTCATGTATGTTTTTCTTGCTTGAGTCTTGACAAGTATTCTCAGGTTCTCGGTGGTCAATAAAGTAAAGACACTTTTCAACTCCTAAAATTCATAAATCATCTCTTGGGCTACTAACAAGATTCTGATTCATGTATGAAACTTACCAATGATCGGATTTCGCTGCAATGTGGACTCGTGATCAGTCAAATCTCGATAAATATGAGGTTTAATTAGTCTGGAAATCTCTGGCCTCATACGATGTTGAACGTTAAGAGTGTGGCATTTTATGTTATTTCTAACCATTCTTTCAAATAAACTTATACCTGAAAAACCAAAATTAGAATAAAATGAAATTGTCAAAAGATGTGAATATTTACCGAGCTTAAATTTAGTCTCAATATGATAATCAGCTGCTCCAGGCTTCAGTTGCAAATGATCACCAATCAAAATCAAATGTTGACAATGATTAGTCAATGCAGCTACTATGTGGGCTTCCAGGACCTCGGCTGCTTCTTCCACTATTACGATTGGACTTTTTAAAGCCTAATCAAATTTGTATGTTAATTTCAAAGTAAAATTTAATAAAATATGCTGAAGTTATACCTGCAAGGTAGATTGCAGCCTAGCAGCTCCAGTAGTGGTCATTCCTACAACCAAATGTTGGGTCATCAGTTGGGTATCTTCCATATCGCGAAGTTGACTGTATTCTTGGTACATGGTGCGGTATATTTCGCTTTTATTTTCGTATTGTTTTCTAAGAAAGTTTAATCCTCATTAAATACTCTTGCAAATAAGATTATTGAATCTAAGATCAATGAAATAAAATAATTAAAGTATAGTATGAAGATCCCAAAAAGAGGGCCATAAATTAGAGGGATTTAAAAAAAGAAAAAGGGGAATTTTTGGAAAAATAGCTTTGGCAATTATTATTTATTTTAATAAAATTTAAATTCAATCAAATAACTTTATCTTAAAGTAATTCCCAATAATCAAAGTTATAAAGTAGCTATCTTTCGCTACTTAAGATAGCAATATAGGCCCCTTGCATCATATTTATTTTAGTCCATGAAAAATAAGTCAACACGTGTTTTTTCTTTTTCTTCTTAGTCAAAAATTGACGGAGATACAACGCTATGAAATATGCCTCTGACGTCACTTATCATATAAATTGGTGACGTCACACATGCTCAGTATATCTATACCGGTCTGGCAAGTGAACATCTTACATGCCAATTTAAATGCAATAGAATGAAATGTCTAGAAATAACAAACGACATTAATTAGAAGGCTAACTTGTTTAATTGTGTACACGCGCTGTCGGCGTTCTTGAATAGCGGAAACGGAAACAAAATTCTCGCGACATTACTCAGATAAATACTAAATTAGGACACGCAGGTGGAGGGGTCATGGCGGAGATAACGATTCCTCGAAATGGACGCGATGACCTTAAACACTCGCGGAGACTTATGGTGGGATTGAATACTATTTAAACAGGTTACAATTATTAGAGAAAGGGCCAATTAATATTTACAATTATTATACTAACATTTAGAAGTAGAATCAGCAGTTGATTCATAGTGAAGAATAGTAGAAATTGGTAGTGATTTGAGTCTCCTCCAAAAAGTTATTTGTTATTTTCTTTATTTCTGCCTCGAACCCAAATTAAATTTGCGATTTATTTGACTATATTGATAAGTTAAGAAGTTAGAAGTCAAATTCAAATGTGTTATTCGATTATGTGCGTGCTAAGCAATTAAAACAAAAATACTTTGATAGTTAGAGCTAGTGTAGTGAATTTAATGACAATTATTATAGTAAGTACATATAGGATAAGAAGACATTTATTTGAATTTTATTGACTAAGTAGTCCAAAGCAATTAGGGGTTAGGGGTAAACAAATTAGCTTAAAGTTGCCACCACCATTATTCGATAAATTTTAGGTTCCCTATTAGCATACTGAAAGTCCCCATTGCTGTGATTGGTGGAACATTCCCAAATCTGATCTGCCATCTTTATTTTTCGCACTTTTTCCTAGTTTGTTTCAATATCTTGGAGACAAATAGGAATTTTAAAAAAGTTCAATAGAGCTAGATATAAAATAGGTCTGAGCCCTACTCGACACATTCCCGGTTCCTTCAAAAATTTCAGATTAGCTGAAATGTTCGATACCTAAGACAAGTTCTTATTGCCAGGGTGTAACTCTTCGAAAATTAGCCCGCGACCTTGCATTTAAAATATTGAAATTTTTTGAACAGAAAACTTAAAAACGAAATAAATTACGAAAAGGTCAAGGGAAACCAAATACTTACTGTAAAATTGATTCTGGGACAAAATGATCAACTCTTTTTATATTCATAACCTTATTTAAGTATACAAATATTATAAATGTAACGAAAAAAGTTATGACTAGTTAACTAATTTTGATTTTATTTGTATTCGTGAAAAGTGTAGATATCTACAGGGCTTTCATTTCAAAACTTGCCACCCACGTTATCTGGGTAAATAGACAGATTTGTGGAAAACGCCGAAACACGACAACAAATTTATTGAGGGGAGACGTTTTTTACGTTAAACTGGACTTCACCTGTTCAATCCCCTAAGCCCCAGGGCTTCCACCCGAAAATTTTTAAATGGAACAGTGGGTTGAGTGATAGATCATTTCAGAGGGCTGTTAAATATCTAAGCAAATGCATATCTATTTCTAAATACACCTGCTTGTTTCCCTACATACCTTTTTATTACTTTCCAAAACTAATTTGATTGTCACCTTTCAGGAAAAGTACCAGTTACTGATTACCGGTTCCTCAGTCTTATCCTGTCTCGGCAGTCAGAAAAAAGTTATCGTTTCAGTCACTTTCAGTGCAGTTTTATTATTACAACAATAAACAGTTCTCCAGAGATGGTTTATACTTTGGCAGAGAGAATAGAGATTACCTACATCTACGGAAGAGAAAATCGTTGTGCTCGTAGAACAGTAGCAGAAGTCTATTACCATTTCTGTGTGAAGACGATTACGACAGACGGATACAGTTTTGTGAAGAAATTACTATAAAAATCACAGATGAACCAAATTTCTTAAAAAATACTTGCTTTAACGATGAATCGACCTTTTTTTTTGAATGGATTTGTGAACAGGCACAATTGTAGATATTGGGCCAATGAAAATCAACATATTTTTCGTCAGGACCATACACAGTATCCTGGAAAGATCGATGTGTGGGCAGGAATTCTGGGAGACGGGATAATTGGGCCTATTTTCATAGAAGAAAATCTGACTGGGGAGCTCTAGTTAGAATTTTTAGAAAATGTAACAGATCCACTAATCACTCAGTCGCTAGAAAACCAGATCGATGAAGACGGAAACGTTATGGTGGAAGAAAACAATTTACATTTCCAACAAGATGGAGCTCCTCCCCAATACGCTTTTCTTGTTAGGCACTGGCTGGATGAAACATTTCCTGGGAAATGGATTGGAAGGAGAGGGGGCCCAAGAGTGGCCGCCAAGATCTCCCGATTTAACGCCACTTGATTTCTTTCTTTGGTGGTACTTAAAAACTGGAGTTTATAAAACTCAGCCGGAAGACATCAATGATCTCAAAGCTAGAATTACTCGAACATGTAGACAGATATCTCGAAAGACATTTCGAAAAGTTCGGCAAGCATTTGAACATAGGTTGTATTATTGTATACGTTGGTGTCAGGTGTGGGGTTTATTATTTGTACATTGAGAGCATCGGTAGGGTTAGAAATAATTTTTGAACTGAAAAAAACGGTAATTTTTTTAGTTAAAATTAAGTTGAGGACAACCGAGCGACGTGAAGATGTCGAACCCTCTGGGGCCTTATTCTGTAAAAAACGAAGCGTTCGATTCGGTAGAATTTCTTCGATTGTGACGTCATTTTCGGTTTGCTAGCACGGAAGCTATTCCGAAAATGCCGAAAATGACGTCACAATCGAAGAAATTCCACCGAATCGAACGGTTCGTTCTTTACAGAATGAGGCCCCTGAGCCCATTCCCGCAAACCTACACCACCATGCCAAACCTGTTTGTAGGATTAGATTCCATATCTATGTATATGATGAGGCTACTAGTGCCGAAGAATTTCTAAATATTTTAGAAGAAACCAGTATTTTAACTAACTGGTCGGTTACCCAGAAGATTTCCGTAGCTCCACTAAAGCTTAGAGCTACACAAATTATCGAAGCCGAGGCAACCCTCAAAACCACAACCAGCTGGACTCTACTCAAAGACAGTTTGAGAAGGCAATTTGGTAGGCATTAGGTGAAAGGGACTGCTATGAAACATTTCATTGAGTGCGTAAGCAATGGACCGGTGAAGCATGTAGACAGTTCCTGGCTAGATTGAAGGTATTGGGACATAGAACTGCTAGATTCACAGGGAATCCGACCACCGATAAATTGTTGGAAGAAAAATTATTAGGGGACATAGCCACCCAGTTTACCCTAAGATTATTGATGCCGATTAAACAGCGAGTACTCTCAGGAAATCCAGCAATTTTGGATAAAGCATTATTAGGAACATCTGAGAATGAGAGGAAAATTTTCTAAAGCCAAACAGTCGAGAATGCCGCGAGATTAGGAATCAAAAAAAGACAGCAGGCCCAAGCTGTCAGAACTGTTGGAATCAAAAAACGCCGCAATCTAGAAAAATGGTGTGCTACAATTGCAACCAGGAAGGTCACGTAAGACCAAATTGTCCGAAACTAAGGGACGTGAACAGACAAGGTAACAGAGGTACGCTTGTTTGTTTCAGATGCAAAAAGGAAGGGCATTTTGCTAAAAATTGCAGCACGGAAGTCAGCGCTTTTACCCAGCAATCGGGAAATAGGCAGACTTATTTAAACTCGAACGCAGCCCCCTATCAGTTCCGAGACGTGGCTGCCAACGAAGCAAGTTGGGATTAAATGAAGAGAAAACCCCAAAAAGTTGTAATGTAGTAAGGATTAGGGTTAATGATAAGTCGTACCTAGCCTTAATAGATTCTGGAGCTGTAGTATCCCTAGTTAAGCCCGAGATTGCAAAGGGGTTCAAAAATGAACAATGTGATGTAAATTTGATGGATATACAGGACAATAAAATTCCTGTAAGAGGTATGGCAAATATACCTGTGATGTTCGACGGAGACATCGTTGTGAGACACAATTTTATTGTGGTTAATACAGATTCGTTAAGGGCAGATTTACTATTGGGAATAGATTTTCTGCGCCAATATAGTATTAAAGTAGATTGGCAGAACAACTGTATGTACGCTTTTGAGAAGCAAATCCAAATGTATGATGAAAATATTGATGCTGAGTATGCGATACAGAAAGGAGAAAAAGAGTTGATGAACAAAGTTGGAAACTTGGAAATGGAGCTAGACGAGCTGAAAACTTATGTGAGAAATTTGGAAAGAAATGATAAATTGATGAGTGTGACAGATTTTATGAGGAAGGATCTCACGTTAGAACCAGTAACGGAGGATCGTAGTTTCGTAGCGACTGGTTCTCGCTCGATAACTACAACCAACCAACAACTTGGCAACTCAAAAGACAGAAGTCTGACATCATCAATTAGGAACCCGGGCAGTTCCAGTGAAATCCATTGAGCCTTTCCACTTCGACAGGATGAAGTTATTAGAGGTCCAATGAAGAACGACATTTTGTTTAGTAAAGGTTTTCCATTAGAGAAAAACTCTAATGAAGGTCCAGTGAAGGACGAGATTTTGTTGTTTCCATTAGAGAAAAACTTTAA